GAGTTATTGAAGGAAACAAAACAACAACAAAAATGAACAGCCTGTAAAAATGAACCCCCTGAGCCAAGTACTACTGATGTCACCATCTTAGATGTGAGGGGTTAAATAACTCTTAGGTTGCACTCAGAATTTTAATCACTGTGTTGAATATTTTCTAAAGAGACACAATGAACATTTATCTGTTTCCTGCCATAAACATAGTTGCGATATTAAACTCATTAAATGCAGCTATCTCCTTAGTTTTTCTACTAATAAATTAGTAAACAAATTTGAGTGCTGTCCTTTGTCTCCCCTTTTCCTTGTGACAGCTAAATAGTATTGCAGTGCCTGCCATTTAAGAGGCTGTCTTTATGTATGCATATATGGCCTGATGCCTGCTACACAACACTTCTGCTATAGAGCTGTATCTGCAGCTTGTTTGTTTGTGTTCAATTTTCTTATAGGCTCTTGCTAATTTGCTCAGGCTAGCCTTGTAGTCATTCTGTAATTCAGTCTGGCCTTAACTTTGCAGTTCTTTTGTCTCTGCCTCTGAAATTACAGGTTTCTATCACCAGGCCCGGTTTTGTATATAATCTTTCTGTGGAAGGATCACACACAGCCAGATGAAAGCCAGGATGGGCCTCTCGTCTTACCTGCCATGGTTTCAGTTATCCAGATGGGTGTCGTCTTGGGTTTGTCTGTCTGAGAGTTAATGGCATGGAAGCCTGCAAGAAGCTCTCAGATGAAGGCATCTTGAGGCCACCATGAAGACGGTGGTCACATGTTCCTCAGTCTTGTATATGATACTCAGTTTTCCACTTAAGGAACACACTCAGTTCTTACCCATGAGCATGCAGAATGATCCAACATAGGGTGGTGACCCTAATCCAAAACCCATTTCGAAGTTTTCCATGTTTTGGGGGTGTAACAGGATTTCATGTTAATTCTTGGAATTTGTTGAGCACATTTACACCCTGTCTTGCAGTGAGCTTATTTCAGGTGCTGGCAGCACAAAGAGAAATACAGGTGATTCCTTAATAGAAATGTAAATGAACAAATCATTTAATGAACTAGAACTGAAGGAATTAAGAAGGGAGCTTAGGAACAGAATTTCAGAGCTCAGTGAGGACAGAATTTCAGCTGAGGATCAAAGAGTAGGATTTGGTAAGGACATTATAACGTGCAGGGCCAGTGGTGCAATGGATAACACGTCTGACTATGGGTAAGGACATTATAGTTTCAGTATAAAATTAGAACAGCATTGTGTATATGAAAGTCTATAGATATGACCCACTAGTAAATAAGAAAGCATCTCACCAAGGGTGTAGTAAAACAGCTTATCTGTTTAAATGAAACAAAAAATCTTTCTCTTTTTCCACTCTATTCTTTTTTTGCTCATCATTATTTTTGGGCCCTTCATATTGTGTGATGTTGATGATAGCAGCATCACACATTATTTCAAGTCAAAAATTTTCCCTTTCTAAGTGCTCAACTTTTAGAGGCTATTTATCGCAAATCTCAATTTTTCTGAGGTTCCTTTAGCATTCAGGGGCAAAGCACTAACCAGGTCATCTTCCACCTGTCACGCCAGGTAAAAGATGTTCCAAACAGTTAACGATTACCCAAGGAAACAGTGTGTCTTCTAACCTTTTAGAAACATTTGAAGCAAGAACATTTTGGCTGGGCATCTCAGTAGCTAACTGTAGCTCATTTGAAAAAGCACAAGCATAAACACTGTTCCTAAGTAAGTGCCATAAAGACAATTGCCTAGCTGAAGGCAATCGACCCGAATCTCTTCTTGAAACACTATTCCCTGAAGTGAGTCGCTTGTAGGCTTATAGAGGACAGTGAGACAGTCTTCACAATGCTTGAAAAGAGACCTGCTCATTGGAGGGTGTGGATAGATCCCCCAAGAATATTTGCTCATGTAGAAGTATTTGGATGCCTGAGTTCATTGATGACTGGATTAAGAAATCAATTTGGCTGCTTTATAAAGGGACTGTAGCTCTGTGTCCTTAATGAGCATATTGGGAGAATAATTATCCAGGTCTTCATTGGTGGGGATACGGCTTAACCCAACAAGTCATTAGGAATCCTGCATTCCATGTATTTTTCAACAATTCTGCCTAACGATAAGAGCTAACATCACAGGAGGTTCTCCATTACTGAGATCATGAAGCTGGGGAAGAAATCCCCTTTGAAGCCATTTGGACAATAAAGTCATTCAGGTCAAATGGGGGACCTGTTAAGGTTTGAATTGGAACTATCCCTCACAGGTTTGAGTTTTGAAAGCTTGTTGCCCAGCTGGTGATGTTGGAGGAGGCTGTGGACCTTCAGGAGTTGGGGCTTAGCTGGCAGAAGTCACCTTGAGGGACAGGACTTTGCCTGACTCCTAGTCTGGTTTAATTTTTATAAGGTGTCTCTAACATGTCCCTCTGTCACACAAGTATAGAGCCCACCAAGACAGGAACATTACACTATCTAAACATCTGAGGAGACCACAGAAGGGAAGACACAGAATGTCACTTTTTAAAATCATTTATCGGTAGCATGTTTTTCAACATGGAACTCTGGGCTCTGATCTGAGCTTGAGTGCTATAATTAGATAGTAGGCACTTAAAACTATGTGCTGGATTTTTGCTCATTTATTTCTACTTAGTTTCATTGTTTTTTAGTTCAAACTTTCAGTGCCTATTCAGGAAGTCCTCGTATTTAAAGATTTAGAGTAGTACAATCAGCTTCACGTTGTCACCACAGTCACCACTCACCAGGATGTATGACCACAGTAGTCATGGACACAGAGGTTGGCCCACATGAATGATACTCAGGGAACTTATATCTCTAGAAGTGGGTTTTTTTTACTAATGTACAGGAGTGTTTTAAATTCCTAGAAAGAACAGAGTCTGTGCCCTGCCATTTCCTCTCTAGCTCATCCCTTATTCTTCAGTCTAATGCTCTCCCAACTGAGCTATTTCGGCCACATTCTCATATCCTTATTCTTTTGTGAGAACTTTGTCTCCTTGTACATGAAAATTTGTCATACCTTTCTGACCAGCCTGTGAAGATGCTGTTTCACTCACATTGTATAATATTTGCTTGATTACCTGTTTGCTGGTACAATTTCCATCATGTAGACCATCTTCATTTCTTAACTTCTGTATCCCATGAACACTTCCTCAGTTAATCACTATTACTTCACAGTGGTGCTGAGCCCAATGACAGTGAATGCACTAGCAAGTCAGGTATTTTGATATGGAAGACACAGCTTCTCTAGATAACATATATGGGATTTTTCATGTACATATGTCTTTTCTTCCCCTTAAGCTAGCCTGACTTCTTCCAAAGAGTGCATAATATAAAAATAACAAGGTCAAATAGGATAAATATTTATAAGGTAGCTTGTTAGATAGTTATAATACATTATTATGGACATATTTAGAGTATGCAGGGAAAAATGTTCCAAAAAGCATACATGTAATCCTTTATTGAGAACAACACTGGGTATGAGTACTTGGAAAAATGTTGACCATTGACTGGTGCAATTACTACTGAAGTGTGTCAGATAAAGACCTTAAATTTTCTCCTATTCAAATAGAAATTTTCTCGTCTTGTGACTCAAGTATAAAAGTAATTGCAAAATTTACATGATCTGCTCTGAGATGTGCAATATTTTCTACCCTTCTAATAAAGTTAAAGGGTGTTTATGAAAAACCAATTATCCTAATTACTCATAATATGACTATGTGCTCTGATGAAGGAAAGAAATTTGAAATAGCTCATTTACAACAGCACAGAATTATACATGGAATTTTAAGTGCCACAAATCTGGAATATGAAAATAAAGCTATGCCAATGCAAATAAGAGTCTCTTTAAGTGGGTTTGTGACATATAAAGAACATATCATATCACCTCCTTCAGTGCTTTGGTTTTGATTATAGTAATTTAGTAGGAGCAGAGTATGGTGCCTCTTAGAATCATGGACTCATATTACTGTGACATTAGTGCTCTCACCAGAAAAAATATCGAACTTCAAGTAGCGTATAGAGTTCATGTGGGGTTGCCGGAAGAGTGCAAAAGATCAATCTAAGGTCTGGCTCTCATTCTACTACCATCGGGAGTTTTTCTGCAGCCAAACTTTTTGGGAATTGGGAAAATTGAGCTAGATAACTTCTTGGACATTTTCAGTTCTAAAATTATGTAGCCTTTTGAGTGAGCATTGAAGGAGTCTGAGATGTGTCTTCTTCCTCTAATGAAGTTATGAGAGCAGGTATCTGTTTTTCATTTAATTTATGTTGCATGCTAAATTCTCTCTCCTTTGATTGCTGGCAAATATTTGGCTTCTCTGAATATACTTTCACAGAGAAATCCTTTGTATTTTTAATCTCTAAACTAAAGAGGAAAAAATTGTGTGACAAGTAGAGGTCAGAGATACCATACCTTCTTGTGATTCATAGCATAGATAGGTGCAAATATAATTCAACTTATAAGGACCATGTTATATAACTTTGCCTTTGCATCATTTGTACTGTGGGAATTCTTATTCTTGACTTCAAGCCCCTGTGAGTTGTTTCTGCCGAGTAACAGATATATTATAACAGAGAAGTTTGGAAGGGGCTTGAGAAGTTGTACTTGCATTCTGTTGCATCTTTGGTATCACTCTAAAGTCACTGTGAGGCTAAATCACTGATTACAGGAAGAAAAAGAATACAACCTGGGCAGAACTACCTATAGCTGAGTCTCTACTCATCTACTCCAGTTGATCTTTAGATTTTATAGCAATAAATAATTGTGATAAGCCACTAAACTTGGGGGCAGTTTATTTTTGTTACGTAATGTACTTCAAAATAAATCTCAGTGGTTGAATGTTCTATATTAAAACATACCATTAAGTGCCCATATAAACTAAAAATTAAATTGTTAATATCATCCATTGATGGAATTATCAGCACCATCTAATTCTGTTCTCCAGAAACCTAAAAGAAGAGACACAGCTGTTTGCAGTAGCATTTGTTAGTCTTACCTGTATGGAAACACTGCTGTATGAACCACCAATGACTCCTGCAATGAACAGTGGGATGTTTTCTTGAATAGCATATGATCCATCGGGACACATATATTCAGCTTCATCCACTTTAGTCAAAGATGCCCTAACAAACTCCAGTGATTGCTCTAATGCATAGGTATCCCTGGAACATGTATCCAAAATGTGAACACCCAGCTTCACTCCTGGTAGTAAGTAATTGTCTTTGTTGATTTCATCAATAGCAAACAGCATGGCTTCCAGGCGTTGGATACCCCGGTCCTCATTGATTCTCCCGCACTCTTCAGTTCCAGTGCCTTTTTCATTAATAGGAAATAAGCCACCTAAAACAAGGTCGCCTTCTATTTTAATTTCCCTCCTCATAAAGTTGTGTTCCCCTAAAGAGAGTAAAAATCCCTTTGAAAACAAAGCTAAAATAAGAATTTGGAGTCTTGTCAACATCTTCATGAATCCTGTTTTTGTATTTCTTGAAAATATTATGGGGTGGAGCCAATGTTGTCTGCTATTCTTCTCCTCTCATTTCCAAGTGGGATCTTTGGCCTGTCCTTCAAATAAGGGAGGATTGGGCTAAAGGAGCCCTTCACCGAATTCCTAAAGAGATAAAAGTTGTATGAACAAAAATGATTTAAAAAAACAATAATTATATAGCTGTTTCTCAGTAAGACCTTTGATGGGTTACTAAATTGAACAAACCAACTCTGATACTTATTTTAGTCAGTCTTTATTGACATCTCGACTATTATCTTCTGGTTAATACTTAACTACCTTTATGTTTTTATTTCACTTCTGGATATGCTTCAAATATAATAACTGTGCCCCCTCTCAGTTTCTGTTCCCCATTTCTGTGTTAACTTTCCTGTGTTCATGGCTTGAACTACCATTTGAATGATTTCCAAACTACAACACTGAGTACTTGTTGAGTAGTTTTAACCACATGCCTCTCAAGCACCCCTCCAAATCCCTCCCAAATTTGTGTCTAATAAATGTCTTCTTATATCTGTATCTAGGTTCTCAAGCCAGAAATCTGCCATTGGGCATCTTGCCCACTTCCCTTTTTTCAACTCTTCAATTAGCCATAAGAAATGAGGAATCTCCCTCTTTGAAGCCACAGCCCTCCCTGTTCACGATGCTGAGTTCCTGTCATCTGTAGCACAGTCATGGCAGTAGCCTCAGTAGAACCGAGAACACCCTTTTATGATGTAGGAAAAGAAAGCCCTTTCTCAAGTTAAAAATCATTAAATTAGGTGTGTTTGCTAGTGGCTGCTTCTTGTAGCTAGTATTAGGCAAGTCCTCTTGTGGCCTTGTATTTAATTCCTCACAAGGATTGCAATGATCATGGTTCTGGGTTTACACAGTGGATTGTAAGTTTGGACAGTACTGGCATACTCTCAGATATATTATCAAATGTTAACAGTCTGAATGGTGTCTCCTGGAAGACATGTTCTAATGTACAGATTTCATTACTGTATAGTGTGGTCTGTTTTTCTACCACTGTATAAACCTTCTCTTGTCTTCTGGTTTAAGAACTGACTTCTTAACTGGAGTGTTTCTCAGGGCTCTATGATCTTGTCCCTGGTGTGTGCTCTAGTCTTACATCTTACCATGGCTGTTAACTTTGTCCCACAATTGCTGTCAAATCTGCTCCAGAAATATCACACTATGTGCATTTTAGGGGATGGATGGATATGCATGAGCATCTCTTGCTTCTGCTATTACTTCCTTGTGAATGCTCTTATTTTCTCCCCTCCAAATACGTATGATATTGGGACTCAATAGACACTGGATAAACAACGGAAGTGTTTTTCTGATTGATTTGTTTTTGTACTTCCCTTTCTCGGTCAAATTCCCACACTTCTGTGTGGTATGCCTGCTGAAACTTGTTCAAGAAATATTTGCTATTGCAGTTATAATTCATATTTCCTTCCTCATGTGTTCATTGGGAATAAATGATATGACACAGACTTTGAGACTTTAAAAGTATTAAGAAGACTAAAAAGATCCAGTGAAAATTTCAACATGGGGTCAGTCTGGTACTTTCTTCTGACACTTCTCCCTTCTCATGAGAGCAGTGCCCTTTAAAATCCAGCTTCCTGGTACTTTCACCATGTGGGCAAAGGATGAATTGTTTTCTTGAGACACAGACTTTTCTGAGTTTTGCTAAGTTCATTTGTTTAAGTGGGAGTTTCTGTGATGATGGCATCAGCCATTGGAATGTTCAAGGTTAACCTCTAGCCTGTGGGCAATCTGCCACAGGTGCATCAGGAATTCTTAAAACAATAATTTCTTTTCAAAGTTGGTACCAGAGAGCTGTTTTTAGATTGTGGTTACTTATCAATGTCTTGTTCCTTTCATCTTCTGTACAATTCTCTTTGAAGTGTAAGTGCCATCACTAGGAGGCAAAGACACTCATCATTATCACTAATAACAAAGATACAGGAATTGCTCTATAAAATCATGGTTTTATTAGCCTAATCAGAGAGAATAATTAATTCAGAGAAGGTTTACCATGTATCTTTAGAAAAATACTGACAGGTTTTGAATGTGAGGGGAGTTTGACACTGATACCTCAAAGAAGAAAGATGACCTTATAGACTGCAGAAAGCCTAATTGCCTGTTGAGGAAGTAAGAGCATCTCAGGGGAATCATCACATGACTTTTAAAGGTGATGGCACATATACAGCCATGATTGCTTGACAGGTGGGGAGTGTGTGTGTGCGCGCGCACGCGCTACTTTTATGTATCTAGGACTTGATATGCTGCCTATATTCCAGAAGATATTCAATAAATTATCTGTGAAGGGTTGCACACATCCATGACAGTTGTATTTTCAAATAAACTACTCTCTTTTAACTCAAAGAAGGGCAAAAAGGCGTAAAAGAGGAAATGCATGCTTTTGATCTCATTAACTGTCTAATTACCAGGTGCTCTCCCCCTTTGCACATTTCCATGTTAAGACTACAGCTAACTGGTACAAAATAAGGCAATGTTTGAGAATTTTTATAGTTTGAGAATTCTTTGTTTAAAAATTTGAAATGCTATCGTATCTGTAACTTGAGGATTGACACAGCACATAGCATACAAGTATACTCCTAAGTACATGTAATGGGCTACAGCATAAACACAGGAATATTAATTAAAACGTTGCCTCAAGGAATGAGTATAATGTGTATATGAAGGACAAATGAGATTCATGTTTGGATTTGGATTCTACCATGAAGGTATTTCTTTATGAATCTGTACATAGTCTAAAATTTCCCCCAAGAATCTGAAATAAGTCTGGCCCTGAACGTTTTGGAAAAGGTGTATGAACCACATACAAGCAAGCAAAGATGTTTTCTTTGGATTTAGAAGTAGCAATAGAGTCGGATTCCTATGAAACCACAAGAGGACACACACTTCTAGGTTTTTAGGTCAAGGGCAGCATGCATATTGTCCTATTTCAAAGCTTCGGATATTCATTGGCTCAGGTCAAATATTTATTGTATATGTAGGAGACTACAAGTTAGAAAACTAGAATATATTATTTGATTGCAATAATGTTGTCTTGGTTTTCAAGTAATATTCTTGATTCTTAAAAGTATACTTATATATGTCAAGAGTAACAGAGAGGTATTTCTGATTTTGCCAAATAGCTCCATCATTTAAAAAAATTCTATAGGTAATAATGTCATGAGTTTCCTTTAGTGTGTCATTATTAAGTATTCAACCCAAAAGACTTATCTTATGCTATATAAATTGGATATTATATTAATTGAAAACTTAGATATTCAGATTATCAGTACAAGCTGACTAGTAATTTCATGCAAACTAATTTTATTTAAGCCATATGACATAGGCATCTTTAAGTAATGTATAATGTAGTCTAACACAATTACAATGTGACAATCAAAGTAATGCTTAAGCCCACTCTCTAAGTATTTTCTTATTTACCTTTTCTTTAAAGTAGAATTTATAACGATTAATAGCTGTGTATAATTTATAAATACTTAACATTGCCTAAAGCAAAACCCTAAAAACTGAGAGGGGAAATTAAAACTTAAAATTGAAAAAATAGATGGACATGCTTAATTCAGTGCAAACATTTATCTCTGTGTAACAGCTTATCAGATTGTGGGAAAGGCAACAAACACTTCTTCTCAGGTCCTATCCATTATAAATCAGAAAGCAGCTGGGTCCCTAGGCGAATAGGTTCCCTGCTCAGCCACACTCATATGCAGCTGGAGGACTGCAGCTCTACTAAATCCATTCAGGGATGATGGGTGATGTGTCAACTATAAACAAGCCTCTCTGTAGGCAACCTGCTCAGTAATGTTTTATTAATCACTGCATTAATGCAGTCTCAGAGGTGTGCTATGAATATGACCCCTGGAATACGTGGGCAGAAAACACTTCTGAACTCTGTGTATGCTAATATGTATTTTCCTTTCTCCCCTGGCTTTGCCTGGGGGAGTTGGTGTAGGAACTGAAACCCACCTTGACTCAATGAATAAGTAGTTTATGCAGAGGGAAGAAGAAGGTTTATCTGGGAGGTGCCATGCCTGAAACCACATTCACTTTTCCCCCAGAAATAACCTTCCTAAGTAACTGATGGATTTCAAAGAGTGCTCAAATCCTATCTGCCCAACAAGTCAGAGAAAGGTTTATGTTAGCCTAACATACTCAATTTGATTGTTGCTACAGTTTCTTTTTTCAGATGCCAGATTTTGGGCAACAAAAGGCAGGGCTCTTGTTCTTGTACTTCCTTTTATTTTTTCCAGAATAGGACGATGTCACAGCTATACTGGCATCTAAGTACCAGAGTACGCAATAATAATATGAGAGCAAATCCCTTTCTCTTGCTGAGGTGAAGTGCTGGGGTAAAGAAGAAGACAAACAGGGTAATGTCCCAGATGTCTCTGAGAAGCGTTTATGGTTAGATATGAACTGTCCCCACACAGAGTTATTATGAGGTACTTCGTTGTCAGCAAATAGGCAGATGGGCTGTTGGGAAGTGTTTGAATATTGGTGGTTCTGACCTAATCAATAGATAATGCTTTGGTGAATTAATAATATGATGACAAAATGGGAGGTGGGGAAAAGTAGAGGGTGGGGTCTGATGTGCAGAAGTTGGTCACTGGGGTATGTTTTTGAAAGGTGTTTTGTCCTTCCGTCTGCCCCTGTTTTAGTATATTGCTGCCATTAGGTAATCCATTGAGCCATTGCAAGCATTCTATGACATGCTCTCTGTCCGCCAGGATGCTTGTCCCTCAGCATATACGGATTTAATGGCACCAGAGACCGGCGACCTTGGATTGAAACCTCTAAGACTATGAAAAAATACATTTTCCTCCCTTAGTTGTTTTTCTTGGGTAGCTCTGTCATAGCATCTGTTTTGAGAAGGTCTAAACCAGTGGCTCTCAACCTTTCTAATGCTGCAATACTTTAATATGGATCTTGTGGTGACCAGACCCCACCACCGTAAAATTGTTTTCTTCACTACTCCATTAATGTAATTTTGCTGCTGTTTTGAATTGTAAGGTAAATACTTTTGGAGATAGAAGTTTGCCAAAAAGGTCTCCATTCACAGGTTGAGAACCAGTGATCTAAATTGT